GGCCCCCCCCCCCCCCACCTCCACTCCACTGCAAAAGAAAAGTCCAGATTCATCATTGGATGCATGTTACTCATAAGCTTTGTGAATTTGCATGTATACCTTCCTTCAAATAACTCGGATATATATATAAATGGAATCGCACCCGAAATTCAAAGTCATAATGGTGACTTTCCAAATTCCCTCAGTGCCATGGATCCCATAATAAAAGGTCACAGGAACCCAACTGGAATGGGACCAAAAAAAAAATAAATAAATAAATAAAAATTTAAAAAAATAAAATAAAATAAAATAAATAAATAAATAAATAAAATAAGTTAATAAAGTGAACTAAATAAGGGACTAAGTAATCTAAAAATATATAGACAATATTATTATCTGTCTAAATAATAATATGTGCATTCAATCAGTTATAGTACAACTTCCCCTAATTGCACTTTTCAGCAGACTCAAATCAGAATTTACAATACACTAATTCTAATAATGATGGTTATTAGTTCTTAATATTAATAATCACCATAAGGATAATTTACACACACTGTTTGAAACAATGTTCGCACTTCTGTGCAATACACTTTTCCATACAAATTGAATTGTACACCTTTGAATTGTCCTTTGTATCCCCTGGATCGCAACCGGAACCACACATTGTGTGTAAATGTGCCTCAAATTGAACACAACTGTGAATTAATAGAGATGACATGTAACCACTGATTTTTTTCCCTAAAAATATGTATATAGGTTTCTAACACGCAAAGGCCTATGCTAGTTACTTAAGGTTTACAAGCACATGAAATGATTTCCATCACCCCTTTTTTTCTTATCAGTTGCTTAAAAAACAATACATTTATTATCATAACATTCAAGTCTAATTAAATATAATTAGCCTCATCAAGCAGGGCTTTCTAACATTTTTCTGTGTTATTTTTAATCAGCATCACAGAAAAGCTACCAAACCTGTCTTGCTCTAAAAAAGTTGACCTTTATTTTAAACTTTAATTTATGTACTATGTACATACCTAGGGGTCTGATTTTTTAAATTGCCACTTTTAATTTTTCTTTTCTTTTTGATGCTCTAGCCACTCTTTTGAAAATATCTGGTGGATAAAAAGAAGTCCCAAACTTAAAATTTTAATTAACAAATCATGTTATCCATGAAAATACATAACTTTTGGTGGGACTTTTGTGTGAAATATAAACCTCATTTTTATAACCACTCGATATATATGTTTTTCTAATCATTAAAACTTTGTACCTGAATTCACCTACCCCTCACTTCAATTTTATTCTATTTTAATTTCCTTTTAAACACATACCTTTCACACAACTATCCTAGTCTGGATTTCATTCAACTTAAAAGACACAAATTTTGGGTGTATCAATATAAACTGATATTTTAAAATTCTACACTAATTTCAAACTTCCAATTAATACAACAAAAAATGGTCATACTTTCCGTTTTATAAGTCACAACTTCAACGCTCACAGCAATATCTGTCAATGAAAACCCCATCCTACTTATAACTCCTTGCATGCTTCCGTTTAAATATATAACAAACAAACCCTATATTCTGTCCTTTAAATACAAACTCAGCTGTCTTAGTGAACATAAATGCTTGTCTCTCCCTTATTTACACGTTTTCAAATCTATATTACACGTCTACACTAACTGCTGCCAGTTAAGTTTTTTCGCGCACCCACGGTTACGAGCTGGAGAGCTGTTTGTGTAAAAATGTCAGCCCAGACCAAAGCTTTTTTATGCTTGGAATTTTCAAGCAATTTTTTTTTTCTTTTTACCAAGCAAGAAACAATCATTTCATAATGCTTTTTCAAAAAGCTGGAAAATTTGGAAAAGGGATTTATCATATTACTCTTACAAAGAGTGTCAAGTGAAGAATTTGTAATGGTGATTGAACACCATAATGATTTCTCTGTGATTCTTTTTTTTTTTTTTCTTCCTTGGGAATCTGCATTATCAAAATGCATCATGATTAAAAAAATTGAGATCACTCTGAATAAAGCAGTATAGTGCAAAAAGCCAAGCAAACACACTGGTAACATAGCAACATTGACCAGTTACCTAGCAACAGTACCTGTAACCTAGCAACAGTACTGTTAGCATATAGCAACAATGCCGTTTACATAGCAACAGTGATAGTATCATCACCTCTTGAGGAAAATGATACTTGGAACTTTCAAATATTCAGAACAAGTCATTCTTACTCCTGATATTCTCAGTTACAAACTTCAATTTTGAAATTTTTAAAGCTTCAGATACATATCGCCCAAAAGCAAAGCAAAAATCACCCTGTAAGTAATATGGTATAGTACGTTCCTTAGTATAGGCCCAAGAAAAATAAACATAGTCTGAAAATAAATAGGACATTTCGTTAATATGTACATATTGTATCACAAATAACATTGCTGCTTCAAAGGGATTAAAAGGAACTCTGAGTTGGAAATTTGGGCCAGGTTTCACAAAGCCAGTGCTGGCTAAGTATTGTCATAACAGTGCCATTTGCCAAACCTATCTGCACATTAAAAAAAAAAAGATATTTAGCAAGCACTGTGAAATAGGTCCCTGTACTTCACATAATTTAGTCCTGTTTTTTTCACATCCAGCAATTCAGTTTTCTGTATCACGCCAGTCTGAAAGACTGATAACATTATAACCTGGATAGTACATAAGAAAAGGCAGCATTCTCAACAGCTGACTAACAGATCCGCTGATCAAATATGGCAAACACACTTCATAGTTTGCCGCATAATCTGCTAATAGACACCGAATGGATTCCCTGTGGAGATTACGCGAAGAGCATCCAAGTAGGTCGACCACATTTTGTCTGCAGATCCATTAGTCTGCTGTTGTGAATGCTGCCTAAGTCACAAAAAAAAGGCCCCAGCGCTTGACATGGTCGGTTCACCAGATTATTTTTGATTGGTACATTTGGGGGCAGACCTGTTGGAACTAGTAAATTTGGTGTGACACAGAAAACTGTACTGCCAAATGCAGAAAGGATCTAAGACTCCGTTTCCTAATACAGTAACCGCCACAGTTTAAATTTATCTTCATCTCCACAATACTTTATGTGTAGTTTTGATATTTCTGGCCTTTATGTCTTCACAGCCTTTTCCTGTTGAAATTGAAGCCCGCTGCCGATAACACCCAAGTTTTATTTTGCCCTGGGCTATCTCTTTCGATTTACTGCGCGTCATGTCCTCCATCTCCTGTTATAATAGAATATCACCCCACTCAAATCCTTATTTCATGTCACGGCAAAAGTCCTCATTCCATTTAAGCCCTTGCTTCTTGTCATTTTAGACCTTGTCTACATCATTTAAGCCTCCATCACTGAATCCTTTTTCCCTTACAGGCATTAACTGAAGATTTTCCTGTTGTTTTCAATTTCCTTTGCAGACGAACAAAGCCTTTAAGGTAACATGACAATTTGCTTCATTAATTAAAAAAAAAAAACGGCTTCAACCTTGTTATGTCTTATTTTTTAACATCCTTGGCATAGCAGTAAAGCTCATACCCATATACTGGGATGGGGTTAAAGTCCCTTTTAAACTGCAGGTCCAGCTTAAAAAACCTCAGTCTTCAGAATCTGTATGATCTCTAACCTACAGCTCGAGGTCAAAATCAACCATCTGGCTCCCTTACAGATTCCCTCCACAATTGGACCTCTTTTTTTTCTGTATTCATAATTTGGGCGTATTGTTTGCATTATAATGCTGCCCCACATAGAGTAGATTTTATACAAGTATATTATGTTTCGGGCATAAATAAGAATGTCCCATTACCACTATTCTTTTTTTTTCTCTTCATTTTGTAAGTCCTATCAGGACATGAATACTGATGTGTTCACTTTCAGTTCAAATGTCTGTGTGTGTTTGCCGTATTCTTTTCCATAATATTCATCAAGCAGCGAAGATACAAACTCGTTATTGTCCTGGCTGTTGGAAACAGACTGAAAAAATTAATAAAATAATATATATTTAATCAAATGATAAGAAATCAAAATGGTATGCTGCTGGGTGTATATACCATAGACTGCATTCACAGCAGCAGACTAAGAGGCCGTTCAGACCAGAAGATCCAAGGATCTACTGATCCATGGATCAAATATGGCGGACCCTATTTTAAAGAGAGCTGACTAATCCTTTGATGGTCTCCCTGCCTCCCCATGCACCATTAAACGGTTTCTGAGGTAATCAAGACTCTGAGGTTTAATTGCTAGCCCCCTGCAACGGCAGCACGTGTGGAGGCGGGGAGACCATCAGTGGATTAAATTGTCTCTTCTTTCATGTAGGGTCCGCCATATTTGATCCATGGATCAGTAGATCCTGGGATCTTCTGTTCTGAATGGCCTCTAACTAGTCTACTGATCAAATAGGGTGACCCACTTCAAAGCTTGCCATCTAATATCCTAAAAGACACTGAAGAGATTCTCTGTGGGGATTGTGCAACAAGCATTCAAGTGGGTCAGCCATATTTGATCAACGGACGAGTTCGTCTGCTGTTGTGAATGTCACCATGGTTATCTTGCTAGTAAAGTTTAAATATTTTATCCCTTATTAAATCCTTATGATCATCTTTTGATATTTGAATAACAAATTTCATAGGCAGAGCTATGATCACTACCCATTGGGAAACTTTTTTCTCATCTTTTGAACAACTTTATGCCCCATTCTGTTCAATAACATCAGCACCTTACCTAAGATGAGATATGCTTAAATTCTTGTACCTGAATTACTTTATTTATAATTACATGGCATTTTATTTTTTCCCCATCTTCCCACAATCATTTAGGTGCAAACCTTATACACGTCAGATCTACTAGTATGTAGTTTATGCCCCCTTCCAGATATTTATGCCCAATTTCATTCATTTATGCTAGTTCTCCATATTAATGCCCCCCCCCCCCCCATACTTACCTGATATCTGTGCCACAGTAGACTTGAGTGTATAATAATGATGCCCAGTAGGAAACTAAAGCTGAATATTGTAAAGAAGTGAACCAGCACCCATCGATCAAAGCTGAAATGGATGAAAATTAAGATATCAATTTTAAATCAGCTCAAAATAAGTACTGAAATAGAAAAAAAGGTAACATATATACAGGCATAATCAAATCATGCTAACTTTAGAACCTGATTGGTATTTTAGGCCAACAATTAACACTGGTCAGCAGGTCTTATCTTAAATATAATATAGTTCCCATCCAAATAATACATTGCCCAAAATTTTCAAAAATAATATATCGACAAAATACAAAACATATTAGGATAACACCCGGTTTTGAACATGAACAGCAATTTAGGGTAATAAGGCACTCCTACGAGTGTAAAGCAAAAAGGCATTGTGGCTTTCCAGATATTAAAGTACTATAAGAATGTCTGCATATATATGAAAATACCAATCAGCATTAAAAGGTACATCACAACTGCATTAACAGTAATTATTCTAAAGCCCATGCTTGATAAAGAATTGATCTGCAGTTTCATCCTATTATGATGTCAAAGTTAGTCCTTTCAATATACTGCATCTTTTATGATATAGCTTTGAACTACTCCTGAACCTGCTGGCCAATTTTTTAATAATTAAAGCATTATACAGTTTACTCAAGTCTGTGACAGCCCTTCAAATAAATAAAATGGAATAGGAGGGCAAATCTAGGAGAGCGTTCACAACAAAGTTGATCAGCAGACTAACTAGAACGCGTATCAAATATGACACGCACTTGACAGTGGTTTCCTGCCTTCCACAGGCCCCATCCCAGCAGGGGAAGAGCAATTAAATCTGGGCACGCTTTCAAGTGGGTGGCGCCATATTTGATCCGAGGATCAGTTAGTCCACAGATCAACATGTTCTGAATGCACCCTAAGTTTGAACAACTCTGGTCTACCATAATGATTGGTCTAAGCTTTAAGACAAATATATATATATATGGTCTACTTGATTTCAAGATAAATTAAATCTACTAAAGTTAGAATTGGTCTGAAAATATAATGCCACATCCAGGGATGGAATATTAAATGAAAAAGTCTGAAAATATGGCATTGGGTCCAGGAGGCCCTTTGTATCAAACTAAAACATGATATTTTTGGCTCCCGAAAAGTTGGGTATCTACCAATAATCAGAAAATCTCACTATGGCAACCTTCATAGTAAACAGTATTTAAAAATTTATTTGTATGTTTTTATCTTGCATGACTAAATGTACTGCTGATTTATCACAGATCAAAGCTGATCACAAATTTATGGTTCAATAACTGAGTCCAATTATCAGGCTAAAGTTCATTTGTTAATCAGGTGCCTGGTACTAGGAGCAAGTTAAACTGTCCTAACCAGACTGGAAATGCACCACCAGCCAGACTGGCTGGCCCTACTGCTATCAACTATCATTGATTAGAAATTTTAATAATTAATATACGTTTTAATAATTTCAACCAGTTTTCAGGCTAAGGTTCACATGTGAAACGGGCCACTCTGATACTAGTGACAAGTTAAAACATCCTAACCAGAATGGAAATGCGCCAATAAAGAGACAGGCTGGCCCTACCACACATAATCATCTCTATCGCTGCGAAATACAATACAAAAAGCCCTTGCCAAGTGTGTGAGGTAATCATCCGAGTAAAACAACTACTTCATTGCACATGTCGTAATAGTAACAGCTGGTTACCTTGTTATATGTGGGAGTGGATGATTAGTTAAAGTGCAAAGTAAATAAATTTTGTTAGCACTGTGTGTATACTGTACTTGGGGGAGACAGGAAATGAGGGGCAATACACAAGATAACTGAAGCTGCAAACAGCACTGTTTTAACACCTTGCGGTAGAGTTTTCATCCTTTTTATAATTTAATAACAATTTCATTGAGCACATAAATAGTGTTATAAAAAAAAATAAATAAATAAAATAATAATAAAAAAGGCTTGTTGGTCTTAACATGTACTAGTAAATCCTCCAGGCAGGGGCAGATTGAGGCTGTCTTCTGGGTCTTCTGGAAGACGGTGACAGATATATTCAAGTTTACATTGATGGGTATCTAATTTTTTCTGTCTGAAGACGGTCAAAAATGGAGGATAGATCAACAAATTATATAATTTGGAAGATTGTGAGATAAAAGCTTTGGATCTGCCCCAGTAGGGGGAGGGTGGTCACATATTTTTCCCAAGTCCCTATGTACCAATGAATACTGATCCCGTTAACTGCTGCATTGAGTTTGCAGGGCTGCATTTAGGTGACGCTCTTACCTAACAGCCACTAAAGTTGTCAAACTCTCATAATGGCACGAAACAGAAAAGTATATTGCACGTCAACATGAAAAGGGTATTTTAAAATTAGATAAGAAAATAAAGTTCTGAGTGCAATTTACCATACTGGCCACACTGAGTTATCCCTCACAATTACCCACTCTACTGACCATTATATAGTGATTTTACTTTTATAATTATTCAGGGCTTGACATTAAGGGTGGCCCACTGGCCCTGAGCCACTGAAAACCAACCTAGGGCCATTGAATCGCTGGGGTCACTGGCCCAAAGAGCAAGTAAAATGTCATGTGTCAAATCATCCTTGCAACATTTACCAATATCTCGGGCCAGTATCGAAAAAAGTTGGTGTCAAGCCCTGTTACTATATAAGACAGGGGGAGGGGATGGCTGGGGTAGCCGTAGCAATTTTTTTCACTTAGCCAAATCACTACTTTTTCATTACTTCTTTCACAAAATGGTTTAAATTTGACTGAAACAAGTCAAATCAACCCAGTTTTGTTAAGCCAACATAACTAAGTCAGTTTTAGCATTTGGCTAAGTGCGTATTCCCAGACATTTAGATCGATCTATCCCCGTGGGGAGTCTCACTAGATAACTGTCAGATAATCCGGCTTAAATGTCCGTCCCGCCTACTACAAGCTGTAAGGGGGTAATTAACTTTCGTGTCCGCCCGGCTGACAGCTATTTAGTGTGAACCCCCAGGGAGTTAGGTCGATCTAAAGTAGGTCGATCTAATCTCTGGAAATGGGGTCTAAGTTGGCGAATGTTAGCGCTACCCCAGGGAGGGCAAATGCAATTTGGAGGTACCGTTTGTATTACCCCACTCCCAAGCCATCCATTGTGTAGACCAGTTAGCTCTGAGGATTACAGACAGAGTAATTGCAAACACTCAAATCTAATTTCTTGAATTTATTCTACAACAGCTTCTGTTTAACTGGTAACCGGGGGGGGGGGGTTACGTAACCACCATTTTGAAATAGGGAGTCCAAATTATTTTCTTACTGAGACAGGCCGTCTAGGCTCCATAGGCTGCATAATGAAATTCTGAATAAAAATTGGCTGATTAAAATTGAAATAGGCGACTCCAAAAGACAGCTGATTCAGCCATGATTTGGAAACAGGGAGTCCCAATTCATGTTCTTACTGAGACAGGCTGTCTAAGCTCTATTAGCTTTATCAATAAAATTCTGATAAAAATAAAAGTCCAAAATAAAATTGAAATAGGGAGTCCAAAACACATTGGCTACTGTTAGATACAGTTGCCTGTAACACATCATTTATTTATTATTATTATTTTTTTTTTTTTTTGGTGTGTGTGTGTGGGGGGGGGGGGGGGGGGGTTTTAAA